CTACAATTTTAAAATCCCTTCTATCCCTTCCCACCCTCTGCCCCCTTGGCAACCACAAGTTTGTATTCTATGTCTATGAGTCTAAAGAAATACTATTTTACTAATTCAAGTATATATAGCAAATAAAATCAGAGTAATAAAGAATCACCAAATAATATCATTTATGAACTGATTTAATAAGTAAACACATATCCCTATGTAGAGTACTGACTGTTTATAGCTGAATGATTTCAAAGTATTAAAAATCCATTTACTCTCAAATAAAATTGGCATTTCTTCTGCAACTTTATTTACATAATGCCTTATTTAACAATTCCTGGACTAAAATTCTTCTGAAAACACAAAAGTAAACATCAATTCTGCCTATGTCTCAATTAAATTATAATATACTGGTTAATTAGTTTTTTAAATACATTTTTGACAACTATACACATCAGTGATTCCCTGCCTATTAAAAGTAATTCATTTTGAATTTTTTACAGTACCAAAAATGATTTCTTTTTTTAAGTCTCTAACTTTCACTGTCATCAAAAGTACCAAGTCATAAGTAATTACGGATTTTTGTTACAAATTTCAAATATATTTAGTGAAAGATGATTTTTCAAACTACCAGAAATATTTCATAAACCTAAAGATCAAGAAATGAGCCTCCTGATTTAATATTTCCTCTGTCCACTATTCTTTATTTTAGCCAAACTTAATACACTTGTCAATAATTCTTTTGTTTCTGTCTCATTCTCACACTCCACCTCTATCTAAAAAGGAGTTGAGACAGTACATTTTCCTTCAGTTCTTTTAAATTCTCTCAAGTCAACAGGTCTGTTTTCTTCATTTCTTTGGGAAATAGTCTCTGTTCTGAATCCTTGTCACAATAGGAAGCTCTTAGGAGAAATGATCCCTACCTCTCTGGTCAAACTTTGTTCTCTCTCCTCACTCAGATTTCAGTTTTTCACACAGTCCCTTACCTTTTGACAAATACCCTCCAACGACATATAATGCTTACTCTCCCAATCAGCCCTTGGTGAGGAGCATGTCTGGAAGGTACAAGAAATCCACGCACACCACGCTACAGCCCCTCAAGTGCGGTCTAACTGCTTCTCACTGCTTAATGGATCTGCCCAACGTCCGTCGGAACGTTCAGGCCACAGCGTTCATACTGTCACACACAGACCATTGGCTACGTAGCACGGGCCAATTTTTTCACTCGGAACAGCGTTATACCCCCTAAAAAAAATCCCACCGAAATCAGGGTGGTCCAAGATAAACCAGGCCTGTACATGTAAAACAGAAGGTATAGTGTCTCCTCCAACTTGCAGCACCCAGATCTACCTATAAGGAAGCATAGTTTTCACTCTCCAATTAACGTCAGAACCATAAGCATGTGTGTGTCTAGAGAAAGACTTTGGGAAGGCTCCACACGTTCGTTTTGGGCCTTCTGACATTCGATCCGCATCCATCCCTTGTCTGGTAAAACTGCTCTCTCACATCCTGAAGACTGAGTCTGGTTAAAGCTGAATCCAGCTTCTAGAGTCTAGGGCAGGGTGATTAGGGCACGAGTCTGTTCTATCGCCAACTTGTGGCTTTTTTGGGGGGTTATCGCTCAGAGTCCTAAGTATCTAGAGTTCTCTGTAGTTTCTCTGATAGTCACGGCATCTGAGGATCCCTCTTTCCCCCTCCTAAGGTTCGGGTTTCCTCACCTGGGTCAGTTTTTGGGTCGCTCTCTAGGCTCCAAAAATACGGTGGAGAGCTCTGCGTCCCGTGTTGCCCGGGTAACAACTTTGTTTCCTAACTCCCCCAGCCCCCACCTCCGGGTTCCCGCTTGACTTTTCTGGCCAACCATGGAAGAGTTTTCTTTGAAACTGGCGAGAATCAACCAATCCGAGCGCGCGCCAGCCGGGGTAAATGGCTGCCCTTTCCAGTTAACTAGGTCGACTCCATTTAAGCCTCGGTCTCAGTTAGCGACTCTCCATCGCGGACGCGCCCAGTGTGGAGGCCGATTTCTTTCCAGCCCAAATTGGCCCCTGTCCACCTCTCTGGCTGCTCCGCAGTCTCAGCGACCGGCCGATTTATTTCGAGGTTTGACAGCGAGCGGCGGCGCTGCCACCAAGGTAAGTTTGCGACGTTTTTGTTTGTCCTAGGCATCAGCCGGCTCCCTCATCGTTACTTCCCCCACACCAACCCCTCGCACGTCCAATTCCAGATAGGACAACTTATCTCGCAGTTCCGGAGCAGCGAGGGAGGAAGGGTTGGCTCAGGGACCTGGGGCTCAGGAGAATTTGCTGCGGTTCTCTGCTCGCTCCCCACGCCCCCTTTCCGCGCAGACAGAAACACGTGTTGTGGTTACGTCTGGGCTCGGCGTTTGTGTGTGTTGTGTGTGTTGTGTGTGTGTTTAGGGTGGGATCGCCCTTTTTTTCCTTTGCTGCGGGCAAGCCTTTTGGGTCTGGAGTCCCAGGGGAGTACCCCTTTGGCTGCCACGCGGCTCGGATGAGCGGCGTGCCAGAGCTACGCTTGGCTCCCGCTCCCGGGAACGCCGCGGAAGCTGGTGCCCGGCTTTTCCCTTCTTGGAGTGGAGAAACGCAGGCGAGCCGCTGGTTTACAGCTGCTTGACAATCGGAGTGTTTGCACTTCTCCTAGAGGTACAGTTGTGACCCTAGTTTCCCAGGAATTCCGTGATTTGGTTTTAAACAAAGAGGAAGAGAAAGAGATGGCTTAATAAATATTTCGATTGTTCGGAACTGGTTAGCTGTGTTCGATAGTGGACTCCTGCATATATTGAGTGTTGTAAGCAAGGAGAGATAGGATTGCTTAACGGATGGTTACTTTTGGTTGTACTGGGCTTGGAGTTCGGTTATGAATTAACTAAATTGCTTTCCTTCTTTCTGCTCTCTGGCGAAGGGGCTAGTGAAGCTTGAGTTATTTGTTCATTCTACTTGTTACCGCAGTAAACAAAATTGAAGGTAGAATATTTACGATATTGGCTAAAGTTTTGGCTTTTTGGCCAAATTACCTATACCATAATTCCCCTTATTACTGTAGATGATCAGAGTTTAAGGGTCTTAAAATATGTTATTTCTCTAGATACTTGTGGAGCTTAACTTATGTATGCTGTTCTGTTTCTTCTTGCTTGCTTTTTTTCTTTCTATTCTGCCTCAGTAAGGTGCATTATTCTAAATCCATAATGCCTACGTAGTGCTTTTCGGACCTTTTGGCTGTGACTCACAGTAAGGAATAAATTTTGTATTGTGACCCAGTACACATCCACAATATATAACTGGCAGCCATTTCGCAGAAACAATACTTAACTACGTGCAATTTACTCTGATACTTTCCTTTATATTTTTAAAAATGTAGATCATAACCCACTAATGAATTGTCATTCACAATTTGAAAAACACTGACCTTAGACCTTTGGTTTTCAAACTTGTGTGTATTTAAGAATCACTTAGATTTGACACAACATTGTAAAATGATTATAAATCAATAAAAAATGTTAAAAAAATAATAAAACATTTTATATTGAGGATAATAGCTAAAAAAAAAAGAGTCACTTAGGATGTTTGTCACAAATGCAGATTTCCTTGCACTCCAGGTACTGGTTCTGTGGGTCTGTGGTGGGGCCCTGGAAGGTGGTTCATATAACATATAGGAAGTGCTTGGTACGGTGCTAGATGCACAGATACTTAATAAATAATAGTTTTCTTCTTGAGAAACACACTATTTATGTTTAGGGATATAATTTCTTCTTCGAGATTTGGCCTGCTCCTGGCAAGGTTGAATCCAATGCTAAGTGCTGTTTTTTCCAGGGTTGGAGGCATAGGTCCTGGATCTGAGATGAATCTTCAAGCATTTGATTCCTATGGAGAATTTTGTTAATACAGAAACTTAGGGGTTGAGGAACACAAAGATTAGAGAGGTTCAGTGACCCGCCCAGGGTGGTATCAGTGAGTGGATCTCTGAGATACTCACTTGATTAAGTCTAATATTCTCATCCATTGTGCCTTGATAGCAGGTCAGATCTAGAGGCAGATTTTGAAACAGGAAAAAGAGCTTCCCTGACTTGCCTATGTCAGAAACAGAGACAACAGAATTTCTTGCTTTTGACTGCTAGTTTGATTTTAAAGTGATGAAACTAAAAGATAAAAAACAACCGAAAGTTTCTGTGGGTTATAGTTGTGAAAAACGGATATAGTTTAGCTAATTCTTTTATAATATATAAATTATTTTAAAACACTAGTTAAATAATTTATTAAACCAGCATTGAAAGAAATTAAAGATGAAAATTTTCTCTTAATTCTGCTATCAAAATATAACTGATATTTCTGTTTCATTCCTATTTTATCTATAGGTACCGTTATTATTACATAATCTTAATCCCTGTTTATACATTTTAATTCTTTTTATTTAATATTATTCTGGGCATTTTTCTATGCTGTTGATAGTTCTCATGTTTTTCATTATTAATAGCAGCCTAATATTCCATAAAGTGAGATGGCCATAATTTACTCAGCCTAACTAAACCAACAACAGAAGATTTATTTCCAGTTATTCCATGTTATCAATAACACTGTAGAGTCTTGGCTATTTAAAATCATTTATATAACTTTTATGTTTCATGAACTCAAAAGGAATCCTAACAGGAAGGTCAAAGATCTGGACCTGAGCTGTGAGTTTTTGTTCCCATTGGATGAATGAATTTGCCCATCTAGGTTTCTTTGTGCTGGAGTAGCAGTGATCAGCCATGGTATCCATTTATACATATGAGTTAGGTTGAATGTATTTTTAACTAATAAATATGGACATTTTCAAAAGGATTTACTTTAAAAAATGTATGAATCATAGCAGATTCAAGCAGATTCAAGTGCCATAATAACACTCATGCTGATTAGCTTTCTTTATAGAATATCTTTTCCAAAGATTATATGAGTATATATTCATTTGTAATTTAAATTTTTTTATAAGGGAAGCAATTAAGCTGACTGGGAGAATAAAAGTTATAATTGGCCTATATTAGCACATCCCCCTTTTCAAAGCACACAGATTGTCTTATTTTTTGTCACTCTAAGACATTAAGTAACCCCTCTTTTTAATGTTATAAAATATTTCAAACAGAAAAGTGCAGAGACCATTGTATACCATCGTCCATGTACTCACCTAAGATTTAACACTTGTTAACCTTTAGCCATATTTTCATTAGATATTATTTCTAAAGAACTAAAACATTACATTAAAACTAAACACAAAACTAAAAAATGATTTGTAATGTATTGTTTTGTATGTCTTTTAACATTTACATAAATGGTTTATGGTACTTACTTTTCTGCAACCTTTTTGGGGTTAACAGCGTTTTTGAGATTTATCTGTATTGATAAATGTAGATAAAGTTAGTTATTTTTATTGCTGTAAAGTAGCCCTCATATAACTATGCCACTTAAAAATCTCTCCATTCCCCTATTCTTGCTGGACATTTAGGTTGTTTCAAGTATACAAATATTCATATAAATCATACAAATACTGTATGATTCCACTAAAAGAAATACCTAAAACAGACAAGTTCACAGAGACAGAGAGTAAAATAGAGGATACCAGGGGCTGGGGGAGTGGGCAATGGGGAGTTATTGTTCAGGGGGTATAGAGTTTCTGTTTGTGGTGATGAAAAAGTTTCGTACATAGATATTGGTGATGGTTGAACAATATTGTGAATGTACTTAATGCCACCGAATAATACACTTAAAAATGGTTAAAATGGTAAATTTTACATTATGCATATTTTACCGCAATAAAAATTACAAACATAAGAATTATGCTTATTTTTTCAAAGATGTATACTTGATGACTTGTTTTTGTGGAGTAAAACCCTGAGAAAAGTGAGATTTATTAAAAAAAATAATAAACTCAAATTAAGTTATATTAGCCAGATTTTATTTTTCCCTCTAAAATGATATATTTTTGAAATCTTTAAATGACTACTATTACTTCACTGTATAAGATTTTTATGAATACTGTACTTCAGAAGTCTCCAGTTTTTTGTTTTTTCAACAAACAAAAAACTGGGGGAGGGTTCTTCTAAAAGTCTGGGGCTTTTAAGGCTGTGTTTTGCATTTCAATGCCATTCCTACTTCATTTCTTAGACTAGTTCTCTCCAGTGATTTACTCTGTACTCTTTCTCCTCTCCCTCCCCTAAGCCTGTTCCTCCACCGCTGCCCCCACCCCATGCTCTGCCTTATTGAGTCCCTCTGCCTCTTTTCCACTTAGCCAAGCCTTCTCTTTTGGTTTCTCTGCCCTCCACTCTTGCCTTCTCTTGAGTCCCCCTCACACACACACACACACACACACACACACCCTGCCTTTCTCTTGAGTCCTCAGCTCCTCCAAGATTTTCCCTGTCTTGAGTCCCTCTGCCCACCCTCCCCTTTGATCCCACCCCTGGTCTTTTCTTTTCCAATTTTGTAACTGCTAAAGGCACTCACTGAGAATGAGGCCTGTTTCACGGCAATTTACAGTCTTTTGCAGTGTCAGCCTTTTAATGTTTGGAAAGTTGGTCTTAGTTTTGGGATTAAAAAAAAAACACCTTTCTAGCCCTTAAAAATAAGATTCTGACTTTATGGCTTTGACAAGTTATTGTATGAAGGGGGAGAAAAGCACTTAATGTGAAAGATAATCACTGAGTTACATTGCTTAAGATGTTTAATATGAACTCAAAACTAAAGAACCGTTTTCAGTAGCCCTATATTTTATTTAGACATAAAATAAAATGATCACCATTAGAGGTTTGATCCCTTCCTTTTTCCTTAAAAATGGCTTTGCTTATTTCCCCTCTCCATATCTCTTTCTCTCTGGGGACTCAGACATTTAGGATAAAACATTAGTAACTCAGTTTCTACTTCCAGAGTTGGCATCAATAACTGTCAGTGCAAAGAAGGACCCTATTGTACTTTGAGGCTTAGATTTTTCTACTTTCTTATTTTGTTCCATTTCTGGAAGGCTTTCTTCGTGAAACAAGGGGTTTATTCAGTGAGTTTGATTTCAGATTTCCCACTACACACAACACTCCTAGGATCGATAAACGAGATTGGTAGTACACTGAGAAGATAATTTGCATGCTGATAAATGAGATCGATGTGTAGCAATTTTTTTTGAATTGTAATTTGAGATGCAAGGTATGTTTACTCTCTGAGGCAGCTAAGAGAGTGCTCCATAAATAACCCTGATTTACTGATCCTTTGCTGACAGCGAGGAGAACCCCAGCATTATGTTTTGGAAAGCTTTCATATAGCACTTTACATTAAATCAAATTAGACAAGGTAATATATGTGGAGGGCCCTTTGTAAACTTATTTTTAAGGATGCATTTTGGTTACTCACTTAGTGGAACAGCCAGGATTTTAGAGGTGAGGAAATTGAGATTCCAGTGCGTTTAAGTGACTAGCACAGTCTGGTTAAGTGTCAGCACTCATTGTGTTGTTTTCTTCCTATTCAGTTGTTTAGTTAATTCAGTAAGCCTCATCTAGATTGGAGTACCAGGCAGGGACTATTCCAGGAGCCTTTTCAGTGAGCTCTGATGATTTCTTTGGGCCTAGTGAGCTTTCTGCAGAAGCCCTTTTACCATCGGTATTTCTTTCTTTGAACATGTGTGCTTG